CTGAGCAAAGGTCGGGGGTGGGCAGAGCAGGGAGACCCTCGGGCCCAGAGGGACACCTCCCCCCCGCCCCCCCGTCTGCAGCAAAGGCTGCTATAGCAGTGCTACGGGCTAAACTCCTAACCCCAAGCCCATCCTGTCTGTTTCAAGTCAGGTAGCTCCCAAGTCTGCACTTGGGAGCCAGTGAAATACTATTCCTTTACCATCTAATTAGAATGTCACTTTAGAAAAAAATGTAGTAAAGGGGAAAAGAAAGAATTGATCTTTGCATTGGCCAGGAATTAAATCCAGGACTCCTGGGCAGCAGGCGAGAATTCTGCTACTGAGCCACCACCGATGCTACAGTGCGGTAAACTTGGCCGTGGCAATTCAGGTGGTCTGCTGAAGCCTCCACCCAGTCCGGGTAAGAGAGCCCCTGGCCAGCCCGAGGGGACCAGACAAGCAAGTATTTTCTCGGAAAGGTGGTGCTCTGCTGAAACTTGTCACCTTGAGTTCTGTCCCAGCTGGTCATTTCTAGCCGTCAGGAGACCGCCTGTTTCCTGCATGGTGTGGCACCCAGCCCCTGACCGTGCAACGCCCCCACACTCTGCCGGCTCCCTTTCCTTTCTCCAAGGACAGGCCTCCCACCACCGGAATCAGCATCCCTGAGACTTCCAGGCCACCCACCCAGCCTGCGTGAAACCAGAAACGGGAGGGGCAGGGGTGGCACGAAATCTTATCTGCAGGCCTGGGGACTCTATGGGGTATAGGGGAAGGCACCCCATGTCCTCCACTCTGCCTCGGTGGCCCCCATGGGCCCCGCCCCTCGTGGGCCGGGCCTCAGCGGGGGTTGTGGGCACTCGATACCACAAAGTTGTTTTAGAAACTGTTGCCCCCGGTATATCACATTTCCTCTCAACTCAAGCCTCAGGCGTAGGCAGCGCCCTAAGCTCCTGCAGCTGTGTCCCCACCGGGACTTTTTGCTCAGGCCAGGACCCAGTTGTCGCTCTCCATTGATCTCCCCATCCCTCCTGGGTACCGGTTCCCTGGAGGTGATGGCGCATTGAGAGAAGGGGTGAGGCCAGGCAGTGAGAGCCTGGGACCTTCCAGGCCGGTCCTTTCTCCCAGGGCCTGGATCAAAGGGCAAGGGGGCCTGGCCATACCCCCATCCTGCTCGGATTGCCCTGCCCATGAGGGGCCCAGCATCCTCGTGATCCCTCCGCAAGGATTAAAGGCTCTCACACCCCCACCATGGCTTTGGGTCCTGACTTAACTTTTTCCTTTCATCCCTTGCCAGTCTAAGATCCAGAATGTCAGCAGTGCCTGGGTCAGGCAGAGCTTTTGGAGGGCCCAGCTCTGGCTGGCCAGAAGCCTGCGGGCGATTGTCCCCTTCCTGCCACCTGGAAGGTCCTCCTTGTCAGAGGCCAGCCATGGAGAAGCTGGTTTGCTAGGGTCTCCCAAAGCGACCGCGATCAAGTCCCTCAGGGCTCTTCCAGGGGAGGATCCTGGGATTCTAAGGAAAAGCTTCGTACCTATTTCCCCAAGTTAAACTGCAGTCTGGGTGAGGACCCCGGCCCAGGGCAGTGAGCCCTCCCTCATTTGTCTCTGCCGCAGCAGCAGTAACTATGACCTGGACTACAAGCTGTACAGAGAAGATGTTCCCTACAGGTGAGTGGGTCCTGCCTCATTGGTCTGGGCAAACAGGAGGGCCTGCTTGGCCTGACTCCCTCTGTCCTGTCCCACAGGGTGTACGAATACCAGAGGATCCCTCCGCTCATCAACCACATCCCTGTGAAGATCAGGACGACCCACACGGGAATGGGGGTCAAGAGAAGCTTCAGCCCCCACAGGGCCCCCAGGAAGAGCCCCATGTCCCCAGGACAGATAAAGGGTGAGTGAAGGGGCACAGCCCTCATCTGCCAGGCCAGGCCAGGGCGGGGCCTCCTGGGCCTGGTGGAGCATCTGCTCTGCATCCTTTCCCAACAGTCCCAGCTGAAGAGCTGCACTCCATCAGGGAGGAGCTGAGCCAGATCAAAGCCCAGGTGGACCACCTGCTGGAGAGCCTGGAGCACATGGACCGGAAGAGGGACCTGCTTCCAGGTTAGGACCCCACACGCTGAGCAGCATCCAGCTTTTCCCCCTCCTGAAGGTGCCCAGGGCACCTGGAGTCCTGCCTTGGGCTCTATTAGCAGGGCTCCCCTCATCCCACCCCACCCCACCCCCAATCCCTCCGGTTGTTCCTGTGGCTTGAAGATCCTTGTGGCTTCTACGTGGTCCTATGACCCCAACCCACTCAGTAGATATCTGGAGCCAGAGGAGTGTCCCAGCCCAAACCCATCTTGCCTCACAAGCCCTAGACACTCTAGATTAATGCTGGGCATCCAGCAGCCTCTCTGGGATCAGTTAGGGCTGCCAGACCTAGCCATTAACTGGTGACTCTCCCTGCACAGGGACAGAAGGCAGTGAAGAGAATAGGGGCCCTGGAATTAAGGGTTCCTCCTACAGAACCACTGAATCCCAGGCCTACGCAGAGGCAGGCAGCACGGAGCACAGCACAGACCCGGAGGAGGCAGTAGGTGGCCTGGGGCCTCCCCCATCCTCACCCTCCTTGTGTTTGGGTCTTGAGGCCTCTGTGAGCAGGGGAGGGACTAGGGTTTGTGTCGGAACCCAGAGAGGTGGATGTGGGGAGGCCTATCCTCCTCCACAAGAAATGCCCAGAATACGGCCTGCACCCTGCTTAGCCCCTCAACTCAGGTTCAGTCGGTCAGCTGGGCCAGTTCTGGGCTGAAATACCACCTCCGCCTGGGAGGCAGGGCATGGGCCTTGAGTATTGTAGAGGAAAAGTCACAGGTATGCCTCATGGCCCCGGCTCCCTCGTCTTAGAAACACCTGGCAAGCTTGTTAAAACCCAGATTTCTGCCCTTTTCCTGCCCCTGCCCCGACTCGCTGCCCCAGAGTCTTTAGGATGTCTACACGGTACCATGCTCCCCAGGAAAGCGGTGGAAAAATACCTTCCTGGATGGAGAACATCCAAACTTGGACCTGATACCAGCCTTTTGTGCAGCATCCGAGAGCCCACACGTGCCCTGCCCTGTCATATCCTCCTCCCCCACAAGCAGTCCCTGAGGTGGGCCAACCCCCGCTGGGGTGTGGGCCATCTCGGCGAGGCTGGGCTCCTGTGGGGCGGTGGCAGTGCCGAGCTGCCCAGCTTCCCTTCCTCTACCCAGTGGCCTGCTGGGCTCCAGAGGGCCCTTTACTGCTGCTGCCCAGGCCTGGGTCACATCTGGGAAGGCTGGGCTGGATGGAGAGAGTCTTTTCTTTTGTGTGATGGTTCTGGGATCCCAAGTCTCAGAAGAATCTAGAGTTGCTCTGAGCTGCCAAAAAAGGAAGCTGGGGGTGGGGGCTGGGATAAGCAGCAGGTGGCCCTCCCTTTCCTAGCCATCCCGTGCCTCCCAGCCTTCCTGGTGAGGCCAGAGTTCCGCTTCTGCTTCTTCTGCAGGTGAAGAATCACGAATCAGACCAGGAGGGCAGCCAGTAGGTTAAAACCCCTCCAGGCTCCTCCGCTCCAGGCGCCGTGCCAGGCAGCACCCTTCTTTGCCTTGTGTGGTTGTTTTAAGGCTTCCTAGTGGCACCTGTGTAACTGGAGGCCCCCATTCTGGAATGAAGACAATGAAGTGGCGGCACAGCTCAGCCAGACCAGTTGGGAAGCCTCCCCATAATGGTGGCTTTGGCTTTGGAGGTCATGATCCAGATGACAGTGCGGGAGCTGGCAGGGGTGGGGTACAGAACAACTGTCCAGCACCATCCTCAAGAAGTGGGGCCCAGCCTTGCGAAGGGCAGCTGGACAGGGCCCCCGGAAGCACCACTGGCCCTCTCTGACTGCAGGTACTGCTCACAGGCTCCGCCCCTCGGGGCCCCAGCAGTCCTCAGGGTGGGGCGCATCCCACAGCAGCTCCCCACCCCGGTCCCCCAGCCGTAGCTTTCTCCAGCCACAGTGGTGTACAGGAAACCTCCTGTTCCCCTTCATCTGAAACTGAGCTTTAAGGTCCCCGGCATGTACCCCACACAATCCCTTTTGGGTCCAGATACTCCATATACCCTACAAAGCCATCCTTCAGTGTAAGGGTATCATTTTTATGTCCTTGTTTCTATTGTCTCTTGCTGGGGTGATACTTTCTATTTCATATTTGCTTTGGAAACATGTATGACAGAAGGGGAAAAATAAAGTTTGTATTTCTTTTCCCTGGTCACGGGTTCTTGGTTTGGTCTCTTGAGTCTCATTCTGGTCCTTGGGCTGCTCCAGGCCAGCCGTTCCTAGAAAAGCTGAGCAGGCCCAAGACACTCAAGTTCAGAAGCTCATACCAAACCAGGGCACAGAGATGGGACCAGGCTGCCCTGCTTTCCTCCAATCCAGACCTGAGCACAAACCTATGGGGCTTAGGAGCCACCCTGGGAAGATCCCACCCTGTGGTCAGCCAGGCTGGCTCTGCCCTACGGAATGGCCAGCACCAACTCTCCTGGCAGTTTACCGCCCTCCCAAGAGCTGAGACAGGATAAAAGACACCACCTAAGGAAGCCTGTCCAGTTCCCCACTTCTTATCAGCCATGGAGGCCGCCTCTGGCTGTGCTGCTCGGCACAAGACCAAGGATGCCTAGGATCGGGCTTCCACGGAGACCCAAACCCTTTACAGCTACCCGACCCGTAGCTGTGGTCTCTCCCAGCACCAAACCAGAGGCTGGGGGCACACCCAGAATGCTGCTGGGTCCACAAAACCTGCCCCACTCTTGCCTCACTTCAGCATTAGCCCTGACTTTGGTACTTGAGGGCAGCTTCTCTTACAAAGTACATTTCCCTACATCGGCCCCTGCAGCTTCTTTTATCTCAGCCTGTCTCCTCCTGTTACACTAAGGGACAGGGTACAATTTAGACAATGCGGGACACCAGGAGTCCAAGAACACACTACCCAACTCAGAAGAGCCTTGCTCTTTTAAATCCTGGACCAAGAAGAACCACAATAGAAGGCTTTTTCAGGTATAAAAGGGTTTGTGTTTTGTTTTAGCTCTGATAAGAGAGAGGCACAGCCCCCTTGTCCGTTCTCTCAAAAGCAGCCCCGTTACACAGGAGGAAGTTACTGGCAGGCTTGCATAGGGTCCATCCCTTACAGGACAGTAGTACCTTCAGGTCCAGGCTTCCACGTAAGTTCAGCTGAAGTCCTTTCCAACCTGGGAGTCCCACTGCATTCGTAGGTTTCTTAATTAGGTCACAGTGGGGAGCCAGCTCCAGCAGAAGAGTATCTTTAACAGAACAGGTTGCAAAAAATCGTTCCAACATAGCGATTCAGTGCATCAGTTCTGTGTGCACCTCCCCAAATCCTCCCTCGTGCTCAGACTTCTCAAGGAGGTGCAGTCTGGAAGCCGACGGTGCGGGTACCTTCGTGGGGCGTCCGTCATTCCTCTGGCTTCTTGTTCAGGACGCGGCAGCGGCACCCCTCCGGCGGGCAGCCCGCACCAGGCACTGCTGTAGTACAGGGTAGAGGCGCTGGCAGCCCTCGAGGCCCAGGCGCACAGCTTCGACCCAGCTCTCGGTCGGTCCCCCCTCCCCACTCCCCAGCAGCCCAGACACCTGGTTGAGCACGGGCATGAGCGCCACAGTGAGGCCGGCGGCGGCTCGTTCCTCCTCGAGCCGCGTGGGGTCCAGCAGCCAGGTGGGTGCGGGGCCCGGCGCGCGGCTCAGGCCGCAGCCCACCACCAGGTCGTACATCTCAATGCCCGCGTCGGCCAAGGCAAGCGCGGCGGCAGTGAGCGCAGCGGCCAGCGCCGAGCCACCGTCTTCCAGCAGCAGAGCTGACACCTCGAGCTGCGCACGTGGGTAGCGGCCCAGGCGCACAGCCGGCTCCAGAGCCTCCTGCAGGGCCAACGCAAGCTCGCGTTCCTCGCCGCTGCCCTGGGGAGCGTGGCGCCGGCGGCCAGCGAAAGGTGCGCGGCGGAAGTCACAGATTAGGCGTCCCCTCAACGCGGCTGGGGCCTCGCCTCCCGCTCCCGCCGGGCCACCGCCGCGCTCGCCGCCCTCGACCTGGCGCGGCCCGGACACAGCGCACAGCACCTTAGTGCCTCCCGCCTCCAAGTAGGCTGAGCCCTTGGCCTGGCTCAGCAGCCCAGCCCGCGCGTACACGGGCCGCAGCCGAGTGGGGTCACGGGCCTCGGGCTCCTCGTCCTCCTCCGCCGCGTACAGCTGCGGCGGCTGCGACTCTTCCGGCCCCCGAATACGGCGGTGATCTCCCGGCATGGCGGCGCTTGGCGAGCGAACCGCTTCCGCCGAGCACTCTCGCGAGGGCTGTCGGGATAGCGGCAAACTGCGCCGCAGCGCCCCCTACCATACTGGAGGGAGAACGGCGGGCGCTGCACAGCGCCGTTGGGGCTGCAAAGGACGGGCAGGGCTCCGCAGATGGATTCAACTGGGTAGGTCCGCGTTAAGTGGGCCCTGGGATGGCCCGGCTGGGTTGTATAGCCTCCCGGACCAGGGGCAGTCCCAGGACATATGTCCTTTTCCTTCCACTTATGAAGATCGTAATTAATTTTTACAATTATTTGTGTGACTGTTTTATGTGTTCCCCACTACCTTGCCCAAGAGGGCAATGACGTTTTGTCTGGGTCACTCCTGTACTCAGTACCCTGCCTGGCATAAACACTTGTTGAATGATTGCAATGACCTCTCTCCCCAACACTCATTTGGCATGTGCTTCAAGCCAAGGCTTCGGCTCCCTCCCTCTGCCTGTGATAGGTGTTGGCCTTTGCTGCTCCTCCCTCCATGTCAACTAGGCTGCTGTACTCAGGGGACATGGAATCAGCGGAAGCCAGCACAGGTAAGCAGCATCTTTAACCTCCCAGCACACTAGTTCCCAAACCGAGAGGTCTTCATTAGGCTCGGGTGAACTAGTCCAGGACCAGGGAGGGTCCCCATGCTCACTATCCATCTTTGGGTCAAGAGTCGCTTAGTATTTATTCTTCACCCAGGAAGCCACCTGGGCTGTCACATAGGGGGCATCCATGGGGGCAGTAGGGATAGAAATCACATAGTGTCACCAAGTATTATTGCACGTGGTCCTTTTATTTTCTGCAGCAAAAATGATTCCTTCCTGCAGACCCAGAGCCTGGGGTTGGCAGAGAACTATTTATAGACATGAGGATGACCATGATAAATAGCAATCCTGGGATAGTGGTTCTACACTGGTGGTGTGAGGTGAAGGCTCCAGGCAGAAATGTTATGGGGGCATTGAGTCACAGGCTGGCACCCAAGTGAGTCCCAGTTACTGCTGGGTTAGAAGGAGAGGTGGCGTTTTTTAAAGGTCCCAAGACTCATCGTATGGCAGATGGAGAGCTCCTGGCTGGACAGATACATCCAGGTGTGGGAGAGACACTTCCCAGTGGAAACTGCCCCTCCCCTTAATTCTTCACATCTCCCAGGCGGAGCTGGGCAAAGGAAGTGGCCAGCTTCAGGGCCTCTTGCAGGCAGCCCACGTTCTTGCCTGTGGCCTGAGCAGACACATCTTTGCCACCACCTTTGCCATCCATCAGGCCTGACACCTGCTGCACCCACTCGCTGGCTTTCAAGCCCCGGTTCGCAGCATTCTGGAAGACACGAAGGTGATGTGGGCGTCAGGACAGAGGAGGGGACAGAGGGAGGTATGGAGAGGGGAGGGAAAGAAAGAGGGTGGGGGAATCATGGACACCAACTCCTGCCCTGGGTGATGCTGTTAAGAGGCTGAGGCAGACCCTAAAGCTGGTACCAGGGTTGACAAGGCATCAGTCAGCACAGTTACACATCCACCAAGGAGAAGGCCTGAGGGGAAGGGCTGCTACAGGTGGCCGACAGGTGGGCAGGAGAAGGGCCATTTCTAACTAGGGGTTGTGCAAACACACGTGGGGTTGGGCAAACAACCCTAAGAACCGAGCTCCCTCAGAAAAGCTACAGACACCACTTCCCACTGGCACGGGGTTGCAGGGTCTGGAGCAAGGCTGCAGGATATTCTCACCTGGGGGACCTGGCACAAGCATGTGATCTTGCCAGCCTCATTATCCACCGTGAAGAGCATGGCAGCTGTCTGTGGGGAATGCGTCTTGAAGAGCTTCAGGGCTTCATTCAGGGCCTGTGGGAGAAGCCGGCATCAGGCCATGGCCCTAGGGAAGGGCCATGAGTGCAGCGAGTTTGCAGAGCTTAGATTTCAGAGCACTTCCTGAACCCCCTTCCTAGAGCAGGTGCTGGCCCTAGGAGCCTGCGTGGAGGAGGACCCCAGCACAGGGCCTGGCCCGCACTGACTCTCGGAGGTTTGCGTCCCACCACCAGGAGCCACAGCTCTCCAGCCACCATGGCTCAGCCTAACCTCAACCCGAGAGAGTGGGCCCACAGGTGACCACTCCGCTCAGAGCCACGACGCTCAGACTTCAGCCGCCAGAGGGCCAATGAGCCCCCGAGAGGAGGAGATAAGCAGCAGACAGGCACAGGGCAGTGCCTGGAGCCCCAGCCCCTAGGTTGCCTTGGCTGACGCGCCGCTCTCCATCTCCAGGATGACGAGGGGCTGGTTGGGGTTGCTGTCAATGAGCTGCTTTGTCTTCTCCAACACCTGCAAGGAAGGAAGTCCAGGAGAGAGGTCTCAGGACCAAAGCCCCGGCTGAATCCCAAGCAGCAGTCTCCACAGACGTTGCTGGGCCCGTCCTCTTGGTTCCCCCGTAGCCACTGGCCCTGCAAGACTCACTCGCTTCTGGACGTCAGCTTTGCTGGCCCGGTCTAGGTCATCCATGATCTTCTTTAGGGATTTGAGATTCTCCCGGAATTCATCCTTCTGCCACTGGGGGATGACTGCAGTGGCCAGGGCCTGGGACCAGAGCCAGAAGACCATTCAGATATGAACCACAAGAGCTAGGATGTGAGGCTCCAGCCTGGCCCCGCCTACTCTTCTGGTTTTGAACACTGAAGTCCTCCCCGATTAATATCCAGGAGAAAGAGAGAAAACAAAAGACAAAAAGGTATCCACTGGCCTGCAGATCAGTCACTTTACAGGTAGTTATTTATGGCAGTTTTAACGAGCAGGGCTGGAGAGAAAGAGGCCGAGTAAATAGCTGGGAACTCTGTAAGTCCTGGTCCCTTACCAGGCAGTGAGCATATATGGCCTGTGAGGGGCTCACTGGCAGCCCCGGGATATTAACAAACACCAGAGGCCTGGAAACTGGACAATCTACAGCACCTCCAACTCCCTCAACACCAGTGCCCACTCATGCTCAGGATGGGCTTCCCTGCTACTGGCAATGGGGGCAGCAGGCAGGTTTCAGGGGTCTGCAGGCCAAAACCCATGGACTCTCTAGTGCAAAGCTCCCTAACAACAGAAGTCAGTCCAAAGGCTCACTGCACTGAGAACCAAGACTTGAGGGTTAAGGACAGGGTGTGTCTGATTCATCAGACCCAGGATCCGGTACCGAGAAGGCCCGGAGGAGACAGGGAAGCCGCCCTACCTCACCAAGGTCAGCGATCTCCCTCTGCACATCCTTGTTTGGTGCTGTCTGGGCCTTCACTTTGGCTTCCATGACACAGAGAGATTTCTTCAAGCTCTCTGCTTTCCTGAGGGCCTGGGAGGGGACAGTCAGGGCTGTAGACTCCAGGCAACTTCCAGCCTCACTATTCTATCTATAAACAACCGTGGCCAATGCTATGGAACAACACATCCCTAGGACACCAGAAGTTTCTCTTCTTTCAGGGAGCCTCTTACCCAAAAAAGGAGCACCCTTCTCACATGCCTGGCCAGCAGAAGGGCGGCACTAACTCGGCTTCGAGGGTTAACTGAGAGCTCGCAAGTCGGAGCCTTTCTCACCCTGCCGGGCTTCGGCACACATCAGGCGCAAGCCCCAGTCTCCACCCCAAGCAGCTGTCCTCATCTCCACCTAGACACATACCCCCAGGGAGCCGTGGGTCAGTGCTGGGGGCACTGGACGCCACAACAAAACCACGGCTTACCCTCCTCGACACAGATATGTTCCTGAGAAGGCGGCAGGATTTACTTATATTTTAAAGATTAGCTATAGATGCTATTAAGTCTTCTGCACTGGGGGTTTTCTTCTGCCAGGCAGGGGTAACTGGAGGGCATTTTGGGGACAGCCCTGTGCTTCTGCTTCTGACTGCAGCAGCCACATAACCATTTGCACTGGATCTGCAGATTAAGCTCCTCTCGTTCAAATTAGGCCACGACCCAGCCTGCCCTGCTCACCTTCTGGGCCTCAGCACCTGTGACAGCCACAATCCTCCGGATGCCCTTGGCAATCGCTTCTTCACTCACAATCACAAAAGCTCCCGCGTGGCTTGAATTCTGCAGGTGACTGAGAGCAGAACACAAAGGCCGTGGTCAAGAGGAAGCCCAGGAGCCACGGTCCCCACCGCACCCCTTGGCTCTTCCAGCCCTGAGCCCCCCGACGTAGTTGCTCCCAGGAAAGCGCCCACCGGGGGACAGTGGAAAAAGGCCCTTCATGTTTAAGGGAAACTCTGGCCCTGACAGGGAAGAGAAGGCCTGGAATGGACAGCACGGTGACACTTAGCAAGACACCACCTTTCTGAGCCTGTTTGCTCACGTGTGAAAGGGTGTTACGCTCCCTCACGGGCTGTTGCAAAAATCAAATGAGATCAAATGAAAGTGTTTGCAGTCCCTAATACCTGATACAACATGACTGCTGGTGGGCTCTACATTCATTCACGTTTTTGGCTCTCTCTGATGGAACCTAAGTATGTTCTCCTATCCCAGCTCACTAGCCAAGAATATTGGACAGTACCTTTAAAATCTTACCACAGCCCCTTAAACAGGTTTTATTCCCCAATTGCTCAGAGATACTCAAATGTTCACTGTCTCTCAGTTACTCTGTGAGGGTGGCATAGAGTCATTGAAAGCTGTTTTCTGTGCCCTAAAGAGCGCTGTGCAGAGTGTCAAGGCAGAAATAGGCCTGGGACCTGGTCCCCAGACTCCTAGCCCACCCTCCACCCACCCTCCTGCCCCCTGCCTGCCCGAGGCCTGCAGGAGGCCCTGGGTGGGCTCCACTGTGGCCCCCAGAATGTTTGTATCAGGCTTCCTTCGGAAGCAGGAATTTTCCAGGCCACCATAACCACCCCCAGAAGACCCCATGGAGGTCCCAAGTGCTAGGAAGGCATTCAAGTTGGCAGAAGTAAGTGGCTGTCACAAGCCTAACTGAGCTGGGCCTTCTGTGGGGCCTGGCTCGGGCTCTGAGACAATGGGGTTTGTTGCTCAGATGCTGTTCA